GTATATATATATATATTAGCAGAAACGACGCCTTCGCACTCGTTGCTGAAGATTACAATAGAAAAAATCCTTAACCATGTGCATTTTCAACACCTCTCAACCGATACAAGAACGAAGTACCACTCTAACCAAATGCATGTAAGATCTCTTGGGTTATATACCTGTGATCCTTCATCTGTATGTGGTTGCTGGGAATATATCCTATGACGCCTTCGTACTCAGCTTTGTACCAGTTCTCGTGTGACATGTCCAAGACATTTATAACCACCTTCTCGGGAAAGGACAGCTCCTTTTTGCACTCTCCGTTGAACGGGTATAAAGAGTCAGCCTCCATCGTGAAGAATGTCTGTAGCTACTTCGCCAATCCAATTCAAGTACAAAGTTCGGTGTCGTCGCAGGTGATGCTTTTAAGTATGTTTTGTATCGCTTTCTGTGCTTAACGTACAACTTGCCGCCTGTTTCTATATTGTCTGCGTCTGTACTTAAATTCTCTCGTAGTCTCGATGTCTGTCACTGTCTGTGAGTCCAGAACTCCAGATCGTCCAAAGGCAAACTCCAAACCCGTCATCACCTGACGAAGCCGAAGGTGAGTAATTTCGTATATAGATTGCGTTTTTTTTTCTCGCTATAAAATGATTTTTGGTTTTTTCACAAATTGGTTTGTTTTAAAACAAATATATATATTTTAGTTCTTTATAATAAATCACATCAAGAAACAAAAATTCTTTGGGTGTGCTACACCAGTGCACCACAGAGAATTGTTTAAGAAAAATATAAACCGAAAATTGAGGGGTTGTTTTGTAAAAAAACACAGTGATATGTCCGGTTTCCGGAGTTCGGACTATTTTTAATTTTAATAAAGTATCCTCGTCAGTTCAATTCTTGTTTTTTTTAGAAACGTTTAGCCAATGGTTGTTGCGTGTAAAAGTTGAACGTACATATAGTGCTAAATACAATTCATCACTATGTTTGCGTTTACGTTCAACTTTCCAGCACGACCCTGAGACCCTGTCCCTGAGGCATACTGAGGTCTGAGGGCCGAGGCCCTGATGAGTGGCTGAGTCCTTAACCTGAAAATGAATTCCGTAAAAGGAAAACATACCTTTTTTTTTTTAAGTTGAACGGAAACGCTTTATAGATACATATTTACTTGCTTGATAGACGTGTATACGAGTCAAGCAATTGTGGGAAATCGACATCTTTTTGTAGCTTTTTTTTAACAAAACAAAAACAATCAAATAGGAGTGGTGAACAAAACAATTTGGCTTTAGGCGATGGGAGATTTTCACTATAGTGGTTGACCCAGAGGTATCTTAAAAAATCAATCCCATTGATAGTTAGACAACTCAAATCCTTCGTATTGACGAGTAATAAACGTACGCTTAATCTCATTCCGAACGGACTATTAGTTTAAAAGTTATGAAGTATTCCATCTCATACCAGGACTGGGTCAATCTAGCCACACGTCAGCCTTATACAAGTCCATCCATACCTAACAGACCTTTCTGGCAGCATAGCATCCTACTTTAATAGTATATGGGGGGTTACTAAAACCTAAAACCCTACCAGTCTCATACTTGAACTTTTTCGAGTTTAATTTGCTTAAATATAGGTGTATTAATGTAATTAGCGTGATTTTAAGCACTTGTAAGATGTGTTTGTTTTCTGTCGGGTTGTTTGTTATCTGTCGGCTGAAAGCGCTCGACTTAAATGTTAGATATTGTAGCGCGGATACAACCCATTTGTTGCACTTATGTTAGGTCCTTGTCGGTCTTAAGGGCTTGACATATGTTAGCAGTTAGACACATGTATATGGGCGTCGTCTGTCTTAGCTATTACTTCGGATTTGCCCATGGTTTTACAGTTGACACTATTGGTGTCTAACATACGTTGACCTCTCCTCTGAGGCCGACAAAGAACTAATACAACATGTGCAATAAATGGGCTAAAATCACGCTAATTACATCTTAAAAGCAAAGTAAACTCGAAAAAGTATAAGTATGAGACTGGTATGAAACTGGGCCTGAGGTGGTTAATAATTTCATTCCGTATAAAGACATTCCTATGCACCTATAGCGTCCATCGAGCCATCACTTATTATATACGCTAAACGTAAACGTATGTTGATTCGAAAGTGTATAATTCAGAGGGCTATGTCAAAAGTTTGTTTTTATTTTAGCCTTCAAGGCTCAGGGCTCTGGAGTCGGAGCCTCAGACTCAGTTTTAGACTTCAGACTCAGAGGCTCAAGCCTCAAGGTCAGGTCTCCTCAGGGCCTCAGCGTTCAGCCCTCAGGGCTGCAGGCTAAGGTGTTAATTATTTAGATTTGCTAATTTGATTGGAGATATATAACATTTGTAGCATTCTTGACTTCTTTGAAGTGATGTATTAGTATTTAATGCCATGGTGTTAAAATACAGTAAATAAATAAATAGTTCAACGTCTCAGACAGCAAGTTCAACGTCACAGATGTACAATCTTCAGATTACTAAAAAAACCCACTTAGGACGACTCATACAGTGTCACTCTCTACTAGAAGGGTATATGCCTGCCGCATGTAGCTGTCTTTTAAAATATTTATGTGGTTGTGTTTGTATATGAAGGATAGGGGTATACTATATAGAAGGCGATATGATTACTTTCATGCAGAAGGTCGACCGATTTGCATGT